AGAGCTCATCAATGCAGGTTTTATAGACATTTTCAAATAATGTTATTAAAAGAATGTTATTACAAGAATTAAACCAGTTCAACAGCTCAGTTGAAAATGAGAAAATAAATAATAATTAAATTCATAGAGTAACGTTAAGCCAAATAAGTGTATATACAAAAATGAATGCAATATAAATTGAACCATTAAATAAACAATAAACGAACTAGTTCATCTGCGCATTATTTGCAGCATAGAAAAGAGGAAAAGTGAATGAGTTTCCGGTCAAATTAAAAAAAAAATAATAATATTTATATGCTTTAAACTTGGGAACTAATTTAACTGCTTAAAATCTAAACAATTTTATGCAGATGAACTCATCTAATTCGTGTGTGGAGATTCTACAGAAGCTATTCTATCAAATCAACTTAAGAAGTCAAGAGGCAAAATATTTCTAAAACAATTGAGCAAATTAGTTTTTAAGAACCATTGTAGAACTAGTTCAATTGAGCTAATTTTGCAGCCCGGCTATAGAGTTAACTGTCCGATGAACATTCTGATCAATTTCAATTCTAATCAATTTCAGCTTTGCTTCACTCTTTCATCGCGTTTCAACCTCATCGAACTCAAGTCAAAGGATCTCCCCAAATGTTTTACCCATCTTTGAGTCTGCTTTTATAACAACTCCGTTTTAAGCCCCATTATGCAGCCCTGGCTGAGTGAGTGAGAGCAATGCACAGGGTAGAAGAAAACGAAACATAAATAACTGCGCAGTGTTTGTGCCATTTTGGTTGCCACATTTGAATAAAATATGAATAAAACCGAAATGCATTTAGCTGGAAGGCGGCAAAGGCAGGTATATATACATAGACAGACAGAGAGACATAGATGTATATGTATATACAGACATATATACATAGACATTTCCCTATCATACCCAACCCTAGCTGAACCTATATTCCGTTCGGCCAGTTTGTCACCTTTTCGCTTTGGCAACGAGGTCTTCGCTGTGTGCTGAGGCTCTGCCTTTAGCGTCTCTCGCATACAGATACGATAATATTTGCATTCAGTTGTGCTGTCATCCTTGTTGCAGTGGTGGTGGTGCTGCTGCTTCTTATATTTTTATTTTGTCGTCAAAAATGTCAGCGACGTCGTCGTCCTGTGGGGATCCCGGCTCTTCCCGTCTGGAGTTCGCTTCGTTCCGCAGCGTTCGCTTGGCTTAATTTTGGTCTAGGGAAAAGTGCATAAAAAATCTGCGGCGAATTTGCAATTTGAATTCGTCTGTGGCCTCGCTGTCTCCTTCCACTCTATGCATATCCTTTATTGGGCTCGTGTCTGGTCTCTGGTCTCTGGTCTTGGCTGTCGCCTGTCTCCTGTCTCCAGCTCCTGCTCCATTTCTGTAGCGTCTTGACAGCCAGTCAGGCGGCTATTTAGGAAGTAATTTTCGCGCTTTCATCGCAACTTCCTTCTTTTTTTCGTCTCTGCTCGTCTGTCTGTCTGTCCGCCTGTCTGTTAGTCCGCCCATGGCTTGCATTTGGGGCACGTTATTCACGTTAGCCAGTTATTTGAGGTGGCTGTCGCTGCTGCACGCGCCTTTAATGCATTTTTTAAAAAGCCAAATGCGCAAATTGAATGCGCCTCGTGCCGGCATTTGCTGCGGTATTCTGCCTCTTCCACATGACGCACGTGCGAGTAGTGCCACAACAACAACAACAACAACATTCCAATGTTGTCCGCAGAGCGACACGCAGGCATAATTTCTGTCACTGCACTCAGGCCTAATGAATATTTCAACAGTCATACTCTCTATCTCCCTCTCTTTCACTCTACCTTTTGTCCATACATTAATATATAATATACATGCCATGCTCATGCCTATATATATTATGTATATACATATATAAAGCTCCCGCAACTGTAGCATCAGCTAAATGTCAAACTAAATGAGCAACCAGCTCGTCCTCGAGCTCTACCCAAAAGCAAAAAATTTGACTGCATTTAGCGAAGGCAGCAAAGAGTTGGATTTGTAAATTGATTTTGAATGTGGTGCAGTGACACGAATACCCACCAAAAACTACCTACAGCTAGATTGATAGAGGAATGTGTCACACAAAGTTTCTAGAATAGCTGAAAGTTGAAATAATGTCGTCGAGTTGGTCAGGTCACATTAGTGTCGCTTGGACCTAACGAATTTACATGCCTTTTGTTAATAACTATATATTATACTATATAACTATATATAATACTAGATAGCATGTATATTATCTTAATGGCCTTGGTTTCTTAGTTTTTAGAGATCTTAATGCTTAGATACCAATATCAATAAGCTTGTCTTAGCTTTCCAAATCAGTTTTATAATTAGCCCAAAGATAGTTCTTAACTTAGTTTTCATATTTATATAGCTTACACTTTATATTTATATTTATTTATATATTTAGAAGTCGATTTCTTACCAACGAATTGCCAAAAAAAAGATTTATTTTGAATAAGCAAAAAGTGCTTGCCCGACTAGAAAATACCTCGAACCAAACGTTTTGTTTTCAGACATGTGAGATTCGACCAGATTGGGCGAAGCTATTCAAAATGACTTTTCAGCAGAATCAATATAAGAAATTGAATAACTCAAACGACTTAATTTTATATTATGTTCTCAAGTAACTCAGTTTCTAAATCTATATATGAAGCAAGCTTGATGTGGCATAGTATGACCAGAAGGCCATGTTAACTAAATTGAAATAAGCAAAATATCATATATAGCACGTATAATATAAATAGCGAAGACAGATGTTCCGAACTCCAAAAGCAACTCGCATTAAGCTCTTTTCTATTATTTCAAATATACTTTAATGAAAAACTGAAACAGTTAGCAAACTAAACCCGAAAGAAAAACTATTCCTGGTAGGCCTAAGCATTCTGTTTACAATTGAAATCTTATATAAAAACCAACTCCCAGATGGAGCATCAACTGTTTTGGGTTAGACGTTAGCGTTAGCGTTAGCATTAGCATCGTATCTCTCGTATTTACTTATGTTGCGTTTGTATTTCTTTTGCTTGACGCAATCTTCTAATTAAAAGTGCAACTCATACCCAGAGAGTCGGGCTCTGACCCAAATTGAACTCTTTCGGCGACAAGGCAACAGCCAGAGCTACCCACTCGAAGCCACGTAACCCACTCCAGCTATTATCTGGCACGAGCCAAGTGACGGGGCAACCACAATATAATCTCTGTGGCATTATATATGCTCCATGCTCCATGCTCCATGCCCCATGCCCCTTGCCCTCATGTCTTCATGTCTCATGCCCGTCAAGCCCCAATGCTCAATGCACAGGCCAAGCGTATGTCTTGAAGCAGCCACTCCGGAGGTCTACTCCTCTTGTATGTGTGTGTGTGTGTTTGTATTTGTATTTTTTGCGTCTTTGTATTTGTTAATAAACTCCCTGGCAGACTAAATTCAAATTACGCACACATCTTAAGACATAGACGAGAAAGACAACGACGTCGGCAGCCATTTCGCTTATAGCTGGCTCATTATGTCAGGTCTATATTCATATACGCCAACAGACTCCCATTCCACATGCTCATACCCATGCCCACTCCTACTCCCGTTCCTACTCCTGTTCCCACTCGACTCAGCTTCCCCTGCCCCGCCCGATTGCCGCATGCGTGAGTGCGTTTCGAGAGAAGCTTCAGCTGGCAGCCCTATTGCTGCTATTGGATGACTCCCGTCTTTTGACTTTGCTTGTCGTAACATTTCATCTTTATTTTGGCATTATTCCCTGGGCGCCGCTTATTGTTTTCCGTGAAAATGGCAACGGCAATGGCAACAAATTAGAAGCGTGCCCAACGCCCGAAACGAACGCAGCAGCAGCATCTCGTTTGGCCCGATCTAATTGGAATATAGCCAAGTTCTACGAGATTTCTTGACTGCGCTGCAACCAACCAACCGGCAGTAGAAGCAAACTTAGGCCATGCACCACCCATTGGCGGCGTCTTCAATTAACAAATGGACTTCAGCTTGGCCAATGTAAAGCCCAAATTGCAATTTCTCACATTAAATAGCTAACAAATATTATTATATAACTTGGACTTGCGTAACGATAATCCTGAGACTTCGTATTGCATTCATCTTTGATTGATTCAAATTAATTAAATATATTTCATTCCAACGTATCCAATTGCAGTTTTGAATTTTAAACAATTTTAATTCGAATCAAATATGTAATTTAAAATATTTTGTAAAAACATAACAAAAAATTATAAAAGCAAAATTTAGTAGAATTATTGAAAGAATCTCAACAAAATTTTTACATTAATTTATTTCTGAAATTATATGCTCAACATTATACTTTAAAAATGCATCATATTATTTTTTTAAAATTCATTAAGCGAATATTTTTTTAAATTAATTTAAATTTCAATTTTTTTCAATCGATTCCATTTGTTCATTCATTTTATTAATTTTGCATTAATAAATTAATATTTTATTTTATTAAGATTTCAAACCTAGCAAATATCATAAAAATGACTGTGGAATTTATTTAGCGCTGACAACAACCTGGTGTGTGTCATGACTAAACATATTCTTAACATCTAATTTTGGAGAATTAATGATTGTTTGTGTACATTTCAAAAAATCTCTAGACAATCGTAACTACATTTTCTAAAGTTTTAAAAGTAGAAATTAACATTTGACTGCAACCAATTCTAATAAATAAAATTTAAACAGCAGCTTAGGAACCTATTTATCATGGACCGCAACCAGCTAAAACACACACACACAACAATATATATTTAAAGGTAATTTTTGACACTCTGGCAACCCTGAGCGTTTCAGTATTTTTTTTCTGATAAAAATATAAGGCGGGAGTTTTTAAAAATGCTAAGGACGACACATTTTATTTATTAGTTATGGTAGTAGAAATAACCTAAGTGATACTTTCAGTCCATGCAGTCGAAATACTTGGTAGGCACAAGGTTTTCATTCGCTGGCTCAGTTTATCCTTTCGATTACATTGCTTGCTTTTTGTTTTTTTGTTGTATTTTGTTTATTATTCTGTATACGCAACGTAGTCGTAGGATTCAGCTTAACATAAATTCATCGTACAACAGTTCAATGTCGATTAACAGTATCCATTTTCCTTAAGTATTGTTCTGTTTCCATAATGTTCTTTTGGTATTTCCTGCTCAGTAATGCTTTATCCCAACAATTTCTTTTCAGCTAACATATAAGAAGTTAAATTCAGTTTTGTTCAGGCTCGCTTACAAGATGCGTTCACAAAGAGAGCCGAGATCGCTATTTCTCTACTCTCTCTATAAACTGTACTACAAAATGTGTTTCTGTTGTTGTTGTTGTTGTTGTTGATGTATGTCGTTAACGATAAGCGAATGCTACTTCTTAAGGCTCCACGCATTGTTGCTAGGCACAGGCACGCGACGTTGCCCCGATTCGCGTGCCAGAACCTCCATAATGCTCGTCGCCGGCAGCCAGCACTAAATAAGATAGATTTATAATTGTTTAGAATATATATGAAAAATAGTTTTCAAATAGTTTTTAGTGCATTTTACTTACGCGTTCCTTGTGTGCCGTGGCAACGACATTACGATTGGGCTCCTTGTCGTAGGAGACAGACTCCACGCCAAATATTTCGCACAGCTCATGCACCAGCTGACGCTTTTCACGATTCATGGTGGGAAACGAGTGACTTCTCGACTTCTGTTTGCTCTCCTTGGCCAGTTTGACCAGATCGCTTAGTGTTTCATAGACGCTCTTCGTTAGCGCCGGATTGCGTTTGGCGAAGCCTCGCAAGAATTCCGAGTACTTAGTCAGCGACTTCAACTGTGCATCCGGATTGCGGGACTGCAAGCCTATAGCCAAACGACGATTGCGCTCCAACAGACGACACTCATCATTGCAGTCCAAGCTGTAAAAAACAAATTCATTTATAGTTAAAGATTTATTAATTATATATTTAACTCACGTTTTATTGGACTTGTTATTTTTGTTGGGCGCTAGAATTTCGCTCAGTTCCATGTAGTTGCCACGCGACATCTCCGCCATGGAAGATGCCAGCTGAGCAGTGGCAATGCGACTGTGCTCGCGGGCCAGCTCCTGACAGCTACGATTCTGTTTGCGATTGCCGCACTCGCACTGCACTTCGACCAGCTCCTTGCAAGGCGTTTCTGGGCAGAGGCCCTCGTGACACACAGCGGCACATTTGTGGCCACACAACTGACGCGGCTTGGTGCAGCTCTGGCGGCACAGCTCGCTCGCCTGCTGGCAGTCGCCTTCATGGCAGGGCCGTATGCACTTATGTCGCCCGCAGGACAGGGGCTTTCCACAAGCGAGCCCACAGCTAAAACTAGCCTGGGAGCACGGTATGGTCTTGCGCTGTTCATGATTGCCATGACACCATTTCGTGGTGAACATCATGCATGGCGGGCAGGTGGCCGCGGCATGACAATTGTGCTGCGGTGCGTGCTCGCAGCCATGGGTACGCGAACAGGGACGCTTGCAGACGGGTTTCTTGGTGCCGCAGGGCACGGGAGGATAGATAACCTCAGCTCCGCACTCACAGTACAATTCCTCGAAGCTGCTGCGGTAGCAAGGCGGACAATTGCCCCGATGGCAGGGCTGATCGCATTTATGACGCCCGCAGGTTAAGGTTCGATTGCAGGGCAATGGGCAGGCGTGATCGATATCGATGCAGCACTCGGCGTTACATTTGTGCTTGCCACAGCTGCGCTTCTTGGTGCAACGTCGCTTGCAGCGTGCATCGTCCGCTCGCGTCGATAGCTGCCGGCACTTGATCATCTGATCCATATGACCGCAACGACATTTCACAGCCGTCTGTTTGGGACAGGGTGGGCATTGACCCAAGTGACATTTACTGGCGCATTGATGTGGATGCGCTGGCTTGCCGCAGCGCAACGTTTTGCTGCACGTGCCTTCGCAAGTGGGCACCGGATCGAGGCAGCTGCTGCGCTGCGACGCGGGCACAGGCAACTTGCCACAGGGACAGCTGGTGATTTGTGTGGGACTCAGCTTGCAGGGACGACAGGCGCCGGCATGGCACGAATCCTTGCATTTGTGATTGCCGCATGGCAAAGGCTTGCCACAGCACTCCTTGCACGAATAGCAGCGCTTATCCTGAGTCTCGCGGGTGCACAGTACCTCCCGCTGTTGCTTGCCGCAGTGACAATTCTGCTGCACTTGATCCGCACACGCCTCACACTTGCCCGCATGGCAGGGCTGCTGACAGCGATGTTCGCCGCAGTTCAACAGCTTATCGCAAATAGCTTCGCATTGCAGCGGCTGCTTCATGGCGCACTGCATCAGCTTGGAGGTGCGTCCGCAGCCACAGCTGCGATTCACATTCGCCTGACAAGGCGGACACGGACCCGGATGACAGAGCAATGTGCACGCATGACTACAGCCCTCAACACGGCAGCACAGCTCGCCACAGCTGTGGGCCAGCTCGTTGCGCGTCAAAGGCGGATTCTTCAGTTTGCCACAAAAGCATAGATATTCGCGCGGCAGTTCTTGCAGCACATTTTGGCAGGCGGGACAGCGCCAGCCCTCGTTCGATTTCGAGCTGCTCGCCCAGGTGATGGTGCACTTCAGATGCAGCACATGATAACAATTCTGGCAGGACCACGTGCCATGATGCGCTTTGATAAGCTCCACACAAACGAGGCACTCGAGTCGGCGCTGTTCAATGTCTCGCATTAGCTTCTCACGCTGCGACAGCTTCTCTAGATCAGGTGCGCGTCTTGGCGAAATTTGTTGATGTGGTTGCTTCTCAGGTGAAGTCTGTGCACTGTCATTGCTATTGCTAGTGTCCAGTTCCTCGGAAGCACGTGGAAAGCCATTGATGCGATCACGATTGCGATTCCAATCATCGCGCCGCTTATTGCTGCGATGATTATCATAACGTTGTTGTTTCTGTGGCTTCTTGCCACGCTCATAACGCTCCGCATTGCGCTCCTCACGATAATCGTTGCGTCGATGCTGCCGACTATTGTTACCGACGCCGCTGCTGCTGCTGCCGCCTTGAGGCTTCGATTGCCTGTTTTCCGCTCGATGTGGCTGCTGTGCTGAATTCTCAGTTGCTGCTCCTCCATTTGGCTGTGTGGCAGTGTTGTTGTTGTTGTTCTGATTTTTAACAGAGGCATTTTCTGTTACTGGTGCTGCTGCTGTTAAAGTGAGCTTGGCAAAATTAGGCACAAATTCGGGCGCTGATGCCTGCAACTTGGAAGCGCTGAAATCGTAACCAGCCGTAGAAGCCGTAGAAGTAGCAGAAGCAGCAAATGGGTTATGGCCAAAGGATGCATAGGGATTTGGATACGCAACAGGATATGCAACAGCTCCTCCAGCTGTATTATAGCTGTCGCCATTTTGATTGCCATAAAAGTGTGGCGTATATAACTGTAAATTAAAAAATGTACACTTTAAGCAGTAACGGAAAATGGAAAATAATAGTACTTACATTGGAGCTGTTGCTGGCGCTGCTGCTGGGCGTTAAGCCAAAAGCGCCGCCGCCGCCGCCAACATTGTAGGAGGAGCTGGCCAAATTGTGTTGACTGATAAATTGATTAAAGTTTACATAATTATTATTATTGTGGCCATTAGCTGTGCTAGAGCATGCTGCCTCGCCAGCTCCATTTGCTATCTGTTGCTGTTCCTGCTGCTGCTGCTGCTGCTGCTGCTGTTGCGGCGGCTGCTGCTGTTGCTGTTGCTGCTGCTGCCAATACTCGGCCATGGCAGCGTGTTCTTTTTTTCTCTCCTCGCTTTTCGCTTTTGCCCACGCTGGCGAAAAGTGAATCCGATTTGTTGCGTATTTCTTGTTGTTGCGCCTGCAAGCAAACGCAAAGTGTATGTTTATATTTAGTTGGGCATAAATATATGTGTACGAATATGTGATTTCACAATTAATTGTAAGAATTACACGAATTTTGTTAATTTGCTTCACTCGAAATTAGAAAAAGAAAAAAAAACAACTAAAGACACACTGCCATGCGCGTGTGTGTGCAAATGTGACAGATAGCTGTGTGGCGTGCGTGTGTATGTTGCTGACGTGCACTGCTACCTTTTTACAGGTACTAGCGCGTCGATGTCTATGTTAACTGTGGAGCAAGCCAGCTTAACTGAACGAGTTTGCACTGTTAGCTCGTGGAGTTCTCTGTTAACAGCGACAGTAACGCTGTTTACTGACGTATGTTATGTTAAATGAAAGGCAACAGCACAGCAACTCTGAACATCACGAACTAAATGTCATCTCAAAAATTTGACGTTTTCTAGGCGGGAATACTTTGGCGCCAAGTTGGATTTTCAAGCGGGCCATAAATTTAAGTTTATAATGGATTGCAGTCTAAATTTTTATATTTTTAATGAAGTAAAGCTTGTCTTCAATGGAGATCCACTAAATGAACATAATCCAATGCAATACAATGCAAAACTTATTCAAATAACAATATAAATATAACTAGAAAACTTATTAACAAATCAGATGCTTCTCGTTTAAATATCTTTTGTATACAAATAGATGGCCACAATCATGCCATACAGACCCAGGACTTCAGCAAAGATTAAAATCAAGATAATGCCAATAAATAGCCGCGGCTGCTGGGCCGTATTACGTACACCTGCCTCGCCCACACATCCGATGGCATAGCCAGAGGCCAGGCCACAAACGCCCACAGATAGACCGGCAGCCAAATGTATATAGCCCTGGACAACCGAATAGGTGGCTGCCGAGTCTAATTTGCCAGATATCAGCACTGAAACGACCAATCCATAGATAGCGATAATGCCAGCCATGACGACGGGTATGATTGACTTCATGATCAGCTCAGGTCGCATAACACCAGTGGAAGCAATCGCCGTGCCCGACACTGCTGTGCCATAGGCAGCGCCAATCGAAGAGAAGACTATGGACGAGGCCACGCCCATTATGCCATAGAACGGGCCATAGACAGGATATTGTACCAGCTGATTATCCGTAGACTGGTTTTCATCAACCGGCTCCACAAAAAGCGAAATATTCATTATTGATTCTTCTTGATTTTTCTATTGCTTTGAATGTTAGTTCTTTTATCCCTCGGAAATTCGTATTTAAATTAACTTAAATCACATGCAAATGCAAATGCAAAGGCTACCTTAACTTAAAAGACTTAGAATATATATTTACAAGTAATTGCAGTAAACTGTAACTGTGACTGTCACTGTAACTGTGATATTTAAGAGAAATATTTATTATATTTTTTTCCCTTATAAATTATATATTTTTAAAACTTTGATTTTTTAGTCATATATATTTCTCTATATATTTTCTCGAATCGCGCTTGTTTCTATGTGAGTTAAATATCTTTGCTTATTTTTATGTATCATATTAACAATTTTCTAAAATATCTATATCAAGTTAAAGTTACATAAGTTTGTAATACTATTTCAATATTTGATGGAAGAGTCTGAAAGCAGTTCGAAGGACGATTTAGTCTGGAAAATATTTTTTGTTAAGCTGAACATTTAAGAGACTAGCTTCATATATATAAAAATGTTCAATTTTTTCAATATTAAATTTCTTAAGCATACGAAAAAGCAAAATTGATTTGGGAAAAATAAAAATTTACACATCAAAATTCTAATTATCTAGGTGAAAGAAAGAAGGTTTTTTGGTTGTTTTATAAGAAAATATATTATTAACACTAAACCCTAAAGACTTCGTTCACTCGAAACTGGTTCAGTCACAGTTTTGCACTCTCTGTTTCGACTTTTCGCATCCGCTTCTTGGCTAGAATGTGCGCAGATTGCTGAGCAGCGTTTGCTGCGGCGGCGGAAATGCGGCTGCGGCAGTAGCAAACGTTGCTGGTGGCATCGCAAAACTGGGAGCTGTGGCCAGCGTCAATGTGTGCTGCTGCTGTAGATGCTGTTGCTGCTGCTGCTGCTGCTGCTGCTGCTGTTTGGGGGGCAACGGAAATGCCTGTGCGCCATCTAACGGTCTGTATTGGCACTTCTTGGCATGCGTGCGCATGTTGCTGGACTGTGTGAAGGCCTGATTGCAATTGGGATGTGGACAGACGTAGGGCTTACAGCCTGTATGATAGTTGAGATGCGTCTTCAGATGGTGTTTCTTAGTGAATGCCTTCGGACAGAGAGGGCAGCTGAAGGGCTTGATGCCCGAGTGCAGGCGATGATGCAGTGTCATATTGCTGCGATCCGCAAAGGACTTGCCACAGACGGAGCATTGGTATGGCTTCTCTCCGCTATGGGTGCGCATGTGCTGCTTGAGCAGCATTTTGCGGGAGAATCGTTTGCCGCATTCGACGCATTTGTGCGGCTTGACGCCCGTATGGATGCGTACGTGCATGTTGAAGGCAACACGTTGATTAAACGACTTCGGGCAATAGGGGCATTCGTATTCCTTGCGATTTCGATGGATTTTCATATGGCTGCTGAGGTAGCCCTTGTCGTTGAAAGTCTTGCCACATTCCGGACACTCGGCCGCAAACTCTTTGGTGCCACGATGCACGGATAAATGATATTTATAGTTGCGCAGCTGTGAAAAGCCTTTGCCGCAGTCGGAACATTCGTAGCGCGGCGATTTGTGTGTCTTCTCGTGCGCCTATAATGCGATAGAAAGAGAGCGGTACAAATGGTGAGTGTAAGTAAGTGTATGTGTGAAAGGGAGAATTGAGAAATGCTGCTCATTGGCTTGGTGGCCATTTTGTTTAGCTGCGCTCAATTGTTCTCTCTTTCTAACGGCTGTGCGCGCTTGTGTTTGTGTTGATGTGCTCTCACTTTGGCTTAGCTGCTGCACCCATGCGTAAAACCAGTTCTCACATTTTCGTTTGCTACTTCTTCGCCTGCTTCTTCTTGCTCACCGTTTTGCTTCTGTTTTGGGCGCCACCATTTTTAACGATCTACATGATTTGCATGAGCAGCGCAGCTGCGCCGCTGCTGTCATTTCGCAGCCTCTGCTGACCGCATGTTCGCTCTCTGCGCAACGCTGTTTGCTCCGCCTTTGCTTCAGACCCCGCCCCATTGGTTACCTTGCTTTGATCATAACGTGTTGCCATTTCAAACAAGTAAAATAATGCCTTGATCTGCCTAACGAGTGCCTTTACCTATATTTAAACTCTACAGCAAACAGATTAAACGCTTAAGATAAGCAAAACTGGATTTATCTGAATTCAAATACAACTTATTTTTAAAATATTTTGTGACTTTAAATAATCAATAAACGAGCAAAAGCATTTCTAAATTTAATATAAAACATCATTGTTACTCAAGGAAAAAGATTTCTTTGTCTGTTAAGTCTTTTGGAAGTTGTTAATGCCAACAAAAATTGTGCTTTCCTTGTCAACCTACATTTAATACATATATCTACATATATTCTCATTGAAAAAAGCAATTGAGTCATAGCTTGAAAAGCGATATATATTCCTAAATTGTAGCAAAGATTAAATCATCTTGTTAAAAACTTTTAAATTAATAAATTGAGGTTCCCGATTTAACAAAACATTCAACATTTTTATTAAAATTATTATGAATACTCAAAGTATTTATAATATTTTTTAGAGCCATATTTAATAGCCGAAAACTTTTAGACCAGATAAATCTTTAATAATGAAATATTTAACCTGGTAACAAATAACTCTCAACAAGAATAATTTGCTTTGGAACATTAAGGCTTGGACGTAGCTTTAAAACTGGTTCGGTGTGATAATATGCTTTCATACTAACTAACTAACTTTTCCTACTTTTATATAAGACTTGTTTTATGTACACCCCCGCATTAATAAAAATGTACCATTTCATATTACCTCATTTGCTCTCTTTCCTTTGCCATATCTAGTGTCAAACATAAAGATAATATGCTTCTTTTAATTATCGTATAAATTGAGTTGTTTTAGTCTCTAACGTTAAGAAGATGTCTTGAAAACTTTACAGCCTGTCGAAAAATACATATTTACTTTCCAAAAAATAAATTTCTTAAAACTCCCCTTGCTTATAACTGATCAAGTTCACTAGAAAACTCACCCACTGTGCAAGTTTTCAAGCTACCCTCTTCTCTCCTAGAACTGTTCTAGTGGGCAACCCGCCCACCCTTCACTCAACTCACCTGCAACGTTTCGGAGCATCCAAAGACCTTATCGCATATGCGACACTTGTAGCTGATCTCCTCGCCGGCGCTGGTGTTGTTGTTGTTGTTGCTGTTGCTGTTGTTAGAGTTGCTGTTGTTGCTGCTCAACTTGGGCAGCATTGCCACAGGTGAAATCGCAGTTGCTGCAGCTGTGCTGCTCAGATTCAGATTCGTTACTGAGATGTTGGTCAGGGAAATGTTGCTGCTGGCGCTGGCGCTGAGCAGCAGCTCCCGTGACGGCAGTCGGCAACTGCTGGAGCTGCTCACCGAGGAAGCCGCCGGCGATATTAGAGGCGTTGGCTTATAGCCAGCGCCGAATTGCTTATAGTAGTCCAAACACTCCAGGCAATCGGCACGCGTGCAGGCACTGGAGGACTTGGAGCGCGTGGGACTCTGCCCATTGATCACATAAGGCGCAAAGTAACGTTTCTGCTGCGAATGCTGTTGTTGTTGTTGTTGTGATTGTTGATGCTGCTGATATGGCGAGGTGGGTGGCGTTGTCAGACCGGCGGCAGCTGCTGCCGCGGCATAGGCGGGCAGCAAGTGTGGAAAGAATTGCGCATAGAACTTGGTCGCACTGGCCATGGCCAACAAATCCGGCGGCAACATCGCATAGCCGTAGGCAGCGGGACTTAGCTGCACGGGCGCAGCAGCTGCTGCCTGAACAGCCTGCTGACGACTCTTCGATAGATCCAATATATTGCTAGCAGCAGTTGATGCTGCTGCTGCTGCTCCTGTAACGATTGTTGTCGTTGATTTCTTGACCGGATTATCCTTGCTGGCCGAGCTGCCCAATATGCGACTTATGCTGAAGTCCGTTACTTGTGGCGCTGCCGGCGCCGCTGCCAGTTGGGGGCCGGGCGAGGCGGCCAGCTCATAGCTGCGCTGCAGCATCGTATGCTTAAAGCCCATTGCGTTTGAGTTAACGTTCATAGACCAGTTGTTGCCGTCGTCTGTCGCGCTACGCGTCAAAATACGAAATGTGCGGCTACAAAAGCGAGCAACGGTCCACAACGTCTTTTGAGCCAAGTCGAGATTGAAGCTGAGATCGAAGCGCGCTCACTCACTCAGCTGGCTCTGTCTCTCTGACTCTCGCTCTCTCTTTCTGTGGCATTTAATTGGTCAAGAAACGAGTTTGAAGCTGCGCTCTGAGTGAAACGCTCTCCCATGCAGCTGAGCCAATTAAGCAGCCCTGGCTAACAGCAGCTGCCTGCTGCGCCTCCAATTACCAAAGCTGACGCAGAGGCCGAGAACTATTTGGTAGTAGCATTTTACTAGTCACATCTATCATAACGTTTATCACTAGATCTTGCGCTTTAGATGCTCATTCTCTCATTTACCTCACTCTCTCTCTCTCTATGTCTCTCTGAGATTTAAGATTTCGTTTGGCGCGTTGTTTTTGTAATTAATTGCGGTAATAAAATGTGCGCATCGTTAAATTTTCAAAATGTATTTCTCTTGTTGCTGCTGCTGTTGTTTTTATTTTTTTTGGTTGTCCGTCCTGTCCTGAGCATGTGTGAATCTTACGGTTATGCGCATACACCTGGCCTGCTCACTATGCTGCAGGCTGCGCACTGCGAGCGTCTCTCTGTGTGTACGTGGGAGCTACTGAGCCAAAGGCAAACTAGGAAGCATCGTGACATAATCTGTTGTCCAGCTTTATGTAATGAGCTCCAAAGGAGTGCAGACAGATCTTGACATTTATGCAACTGACTCAGTAAGTTGGGCAGCAACCATATGTTGGAGAGCGTAGTGCCTGCCGGAGTTCTTTTAGCAGAGAGTTATTAACAGAGTTCCTTTATGGGAATACAACTTAAATATCTGTTCACAAAACTCTTAAACATACCAGACTGAATGATGTACTATTTCATGAGCAACAGAAGGGCTTTGGAGTCAGCACAAGCTGAAGTTCGAGCTGCATAACAATTGGCTTCAAGCTCATTTCTATATCCCTGTCAAAGCTTGACTTATATTCGTTGATTACCTTTTTAAGGGACAAATCTGTCTATAAGCCATGCTCTAGCTTAGGCTTTGTCCACAGCTAGAACCAGTCAAAAGATGAAATCGAAAACAATATCAGGATGAATTATAATATCTCCTTTAATTTTAATATTGCAGTTGAACTTTTTATTATTTATTAGTCTGTATCTTTTCCATCTATCTACTTTTATTTTAATGATTTACCTTCACATATAATAGACAAATTTGTAATCTATATTTCGGGTTAAATAATGCAAGTCCAAGCCTTAAATTTAGCCTCTGCACAGACAATGAAATAATAAATGGGTAGCGATTGAATGATAATGTTTGGATGTTTCGCATGGCCAGTCATGGGCATGGGCTTCAAAAATTTTGGCCTCAAAAGGGCGTCTTCGGTTTGTAGCTGTTACATAAAATGTCGCAAACAATCTAAGCCAAATATTTGGTCTAAAACAAGGCAAACATGACGCTGCAGCCAACGTATTCCCCAGGCCTGGTGAGCTTTGATTCATTCTTGTTTCTGAAGTTGAAGAGGCTCGTGAGGGGACGATGCTAAGCTACGATTGAGAAGATGAAAACAGCATCGAAACAGAACAAAATAAGAAAATCAATCCTTGAAGTGCTTCGCACAAATTTGTAGTGTCTGATGAACATTGATTTGCAGAGCACCAAATACATATTCATGAATACATTAAGAATTTTGAAGGGAATATTAACTTATTGAACTGACCTCGTATGTGCTTGTTCAAGTTTCTTCATATGGTGAAGTTAAATGTGTTTAGAATTAGCTCAACTTGAATGTAGAAAATATATATTTTTTCCATTTATATAATGTGAGACTTTCTGAACAGACCTCGTATAGACCAGCTTATATATATTGATAAGTATAATTGAAATATTTACATTTGAATTTATATTTTTATAGAAATTATCTGAATAATAATACTTTAAATTCAGCTATTCTCACATACCTAAACATGTTTTTTGGATTATCTACAAATTATTTATTGTCTCATCTTTTAATGCTCATGCTGCAAATAATATTTGATAGAAAACATTTTCTATTACAAAATAGGCCCTTTCTCTGCTCCTTGCATACATATTTTCCAGTCTCAATAATTCTCTTTATCCCAACTAATGTCTTGATTCATATTTTCCTCAACAACGCATCCTTTCGTGCTCTGCATTATTTCGCTACCGTTAAACTCGTCTGATTCATGCAACTATTTAAACAACTCGACTGACTGCAGTTCATGTGACATACATACACACACACACATATGTATTTTTATATATCGAGTTATAGCTGCTTTGCATAGCATCAGTAGCGCCCATAAAAATGTGCAAAACAAAACGCCCAACTTGATTTGTATGGAACGAAAGGCCAATAAATCTACAGGATGCACGCAGAATGAGCAACAAAATGGTGACACAGACGCCCATGCGGGAAATTCAAGGAATCGCCTATATATATGTCGCAGCGGCATATATATATGTGAATGAAGTGATATATATATAATTAACAGCTACAAGGCGTTGAGTCAACAAGGAGCGGGCGGTCTCTCGCGTAAGTATCCAATTGCAAAGCCAATTAGAGCGCGCAGCTACCTGGGACTTTAATCTAATGTAAGCTTATCTTGTACACGATTTGTCTGGGCTCACTTACAAAATGCGATCCATATCGCTATCGCAACGGTGGCAGATGAGCATTACCCGTGCCGCACCGTGTCGTGCCCTGCCATGCCCTGTCGTGCCTGTGTCATGCCTTGCCGCCAATAGACCGATCTACAGCGATCCTAGACTGATTGATGGGGTCTGCTGTCAACAAGCGGTTCGCTCCGAACTGCATAAATTATAATTATAAACGAAAACTACAAGAGAGTGGAAATACATACTAAAAAAAGTAGAAAACAAAAACAAAAACAAACAAAAATTAAAGAAGAGAAGAAAACTTGTTCATTTATTTCGTGGAATTCCGCACAGATCATTTACATATGCGAGCGAAAGAAACTTTAAATTTTAATTACACTCACTAAATCATCGGGCCGAGCTAAGATTCACCAGCCCCTTACTTTCTATACCCTGTACATATGACAAATTTGGTGGAGAGGGAGTATTCGTTCAGCTCACAAGTGGGTTCAGCCAGAACCCTAACAAAGTTAGAGACATGAAAAAGCTACAGAAAAACTACATTTTATGTTTAGTTTTATACTTTCCGACAATCGATAAATATCGATTCAAGAAAGAAGAAGACGCCCAAAAAATAGCAGTGAAATGGAAAGAGCAGTGAAATGGAAAAAATGTCTAACATTTGCTATAACTTCCTAAATTTTTACATTACTCAAGCTCGATAAATATCGATAGGAGCATGTTTTGAAGACTTGAAGGAATATGCACGCCAAATATGAAAAGCAAACTCTTAAGGAACATAAAAATACCAAATATATTTAACTTCTTCATAAGCTTGCCACAATTTTATGTTACTCAAAATCGATAAATATCGATAGAAGCATATTTTGAAGACTAGAAGAGACATGCACAACAAATGCACTCTATTGTCTCTTATAAAGCAGTGAAATATCGTAAGTTTTACAATTTTTTTATAATTTTTCGATATATATGAATATCGATAAATATCGATTTCGAACTAATCTCGGAGATTAAAGGAGTTTCAATATGCCAAATTGTGTATGTTATTAGATATGTCTCAAGGTCAAAATATTTAATCAGTAATCAAGACATTGTAATACAGGGTATCTAATAGTCGTTTACGCTGCACTGAAGCACACTTACTCGTTTTTTGGTCGCATGACTAATGTTTATTAGCTGCTAATGGTTTGTTTTACAAAAGCTACGTGGCTTGATTCAGAGCCTGAAGCCTGAGCCTGCCCTGAGCATTGGTGTCCAGAGTCTGGAGTCTGGCGTGTGTGGAGACTCCCAAAACGACTAACTCCATGCCACAAACTGTTTCACCCGTTGACATTTTGACAAATTTCCGGCTGCTCGCTGCCGTCATGTTGTTGGGGGAGGTGGAGGGGGGCAGAGAGCCTACAAACGGGGCTCCAATGTAAGCTGATACCTATCTGAGATGCTGATATCATCTGCGTGTGTGTGTGCCTTACTGCTCTTGCTCTCGCTTTATCCCTCTCCCTCTCTCTCTCTCTGTCACTCTCTTTCTCTCTCTCTCTGTCACACGCTCTCGTCTTCGTATTCTTTTGCCGATCTTCGTTCACACTATTAATTTTCCGCTCGTTTTTCGCCTCACCTGTTCGTCTTGATGTGGTCACTGTCATTGTCATTTCTGTTGTCGTTGTTGTCGTAGCTGTAGCTATTGTTGTTGTTGTGGTTGTTGTTGTAGATCCATGGGGTGGTCGGCATTTATCACATTTTGTGTGCGCTTAAACTCTTTCACTTTGTTTGAACCTTTAATGTCATGTGTTATCGGTTAATGATCAGCCGTTGCCAAGTGATTTTCTGTCAGCGGGTGATCACCCATTCCCAGTTTTTTAACTGCGCTCGCGCGCTCTCTCTCTCTCTCTCTCTCTCTCTTTTTCTCTTTCTCTCTCTGGTCTTCTCTACTCTTCAGTCCAAGCGCATCTTCGTGTGACATTAATTTCGGGTTTTTTAATGTGTAGCCTGACAAATGTGTTGATTTGCGAAAGGTTTTTATATTCTTTGCATGATTTTCATACCTTTAACGGTGGAATTAATGAATATCCTGTTAGGTGATTCGCCATTTCAATGAACTTAATGTTTGGGTATAATATATAAGAGGCAATAAAACTGATTTACTATATGAACCATTTGAAGCTTTGTTTTTAACTTCCTCTATAGTTCCATTTACTATAGATATCGACTTGATGTTCTTTAGTTTACTTTAATATGGAGAGTTTCGCTGCATGGACTGCAGCTTCAGATTATTTTATTAGCTT